ATTTTAACCAAATTTAATTTAATTTTGGTTAAAAATCCTTTTTTTTATTGTTCAATAAATGACTATACGTGACTATCAGATTAAGTGAAGGGATGTTATTTTCGGAGACAGTAGTCAAGAGTTCTAGCTTTAATTTAAGCCTAAGTGAAAGGATTTATCACGTTTTATTTCTTTGCTAGAGTTTCTTGCTTTTATTAAAATCTTCTCTTGGTTGAAACTTACTTACCTACGGATGCGTAATGAACACAAAAAGTCTATCGAAAACAGCTTTAATATTTGCCGCACCAAAATCAGTGTTGCCCTGTGTAAACTTGGCACACACCACAATGAGCACAGTTATTATTTTATAGCGCTATTCATTCAATGAATTACAACAGAAGGTGGACAAATGTGGTTACCTTCTTTTTGAATTCTTGAAGTACGTTGGTTTTGATATTATTTTCAAAGTGCAGACTAACCCGATCTCCCGAGATCACAACTTTTTCAACAATCAAATAAAAAAAATGTTCTTATATTGATACAGCTATTACAATTACTTTTTAACAACTCGGACCACTTTAATTTTTGGAATATTGGCCAACTTTTCGTCATTTCTACCACTAAATAGGAGTAAAACCACTCGTGCTTACCATGTAACGATAGTTTTCAAAAAAGTGAAAAAATCTATATTTTATAGTTAATGTTCAGCTTCGCCCGAACTTCTTCTTCTTTTTTCTGGAAACATTTCACTTCGCCCATTTGACAAATTAAGGCAGATTCATTCAGTTCAGAACTATCTGAACTGAAAGTTGAAGTCGAGTTATCAACGTAAAAGCGTCCAAAACGTTTCTCAGTTGCTCTCTCAGTGAGAGAAACGCAGCAACAACCACTAAGAGATAAAACAGTATTAGTGGAGATGTATGAACTGTGGAAAAACATAAATTAAAGATAGTTTAGTGGCGTAAATTGACTACTCAAATCTCTGAAACAGGTGTTCGGAAAATGTTTACCATTATCACAGAAAGTGTCCGTTACTTATTTATCAAAGCAAAATAGGAAAATTCCGCTATTATGCATCTATAACGGAATACATTCTTTTTATTTTAATATATTAAATATTATTTTTTGAAGAACTGTTAATAAAATACATGTGACCCATTTCATGCGTACCGATTTTGAGTGAGCAATAATTTACGTGTGCACAATCCCATTAGATCGTTATATCAGACATTGAATTCAATCCTAGTAGATTTAGTATAAATCTAAGAGATCGAAAGATTGTTCATAGTTCGTGTATTAACCGTTTAACGCCCAAGTCCAAATAAGAAGTGACAGATA